CGGGGGCCCCCGGGGCCCCCGGGGGCCCCGAGGCCCCCGCCAAGGCCACAGAAGAAATGAACTTAGAGAGGTTTGGGGTACGTGTATATCTGCATGCATGCATGCATGCATGCATGCATGCAGTGTGTTTGTTTTTATTGTTTTTTCTTTTGTTTTATATGTTTCTCTGTTGTGGGGTTTTGCTTTATCTCTGTCTCTTTGTTTGTTGTCTCCTTACTGTCTCCTTATTGTCTCCTTTTGTCTCTTTTTTGTCTCTTTTTTGTCTCTTTTTTGTCTCCTTTTTCACAGGAGTGGGTAGAGGAGCAAAGCAGCGACGAAGAGTTTGAAGTACAAACAGAAGAATGACTGAGCTAAGCCCTGGGGGCCCCCCGGGGGCCCCTAGGGGCCCCTGGGGGCCCCCAGGGCCCCCCGGGTCTCTCCTGGGGGCCCCCCTGGGAGCACCTGCCTGGGGGCATCGCGCTCTTCATGTCCTCAGATGCAGCAGCAGCATCAGAGCAGCAGCAGAAACAGCAGCAGCAGCAACAGCAGCAGTAGCAGCAACAGCAGCAGCAGCAGCAGCAGCTGCTGCTGCTGCTGCACTGAGATTATTTCTTGCGCAAGTGCAGCGCGAGGGTCCGGTGGATGCGGTGTCTCCGTTTGAGGAGACAATAAACAAGAAGGGAAAGGAGACAGTTTGTAAAAAGGAGACAGTTTGTAAAAAGGAGACAGTTTGTATAGAGGAGACAGTTTTGTATAGAGGAGATATGTGTAGCTATGTAGATATCTAGATATAGATATATAGATGTAGAGATATGTTCATATATATATATATATATATATATAATATACATATATATATATNATATATATATATATATATATATATATATATATATATATATATATATATATATATATATATATAAGTAGATGAATGTATCGGAGCTAGGTGTACGTGTCTCCTTGTGTCTCTATTTGTTTGTATCACTGTCTTTCTTTCTTTTTTTTTCTTTTTCTCTTTCTGTCTCTTCTTTTTGCTTTGTTTGTTTCTGCTGCTCTCTGTATTCTTCTTCGTTGCCCCTACCTCAGTTGACTACATTTGCTTCCTCTCTCCAGTCACCGCAGCTGTACATACACCCGAAAAGACCTGTCGCTGCTGCAGCTGCAGCAGCGGCTGCACTGGCAGACAAGGTGCAGCAGCAAACTCAACGGCCCAATGGGTCCGCTAGGATGCTACGAAATTTCCCCTACGGCTGCTTGGCGGCCCCTGAGGGCCCCCCGCGGGGCCCCTGAGGGCCCCCCGCGGGGCCCTTGAGGGGGCCCCCCGGCGGGGGCCCCCCAGTGACAGTACCCTGAACGTTATGAACAAACCATCACCAGGGGCCCCCAGCCAGAAGAGCAGGGGCCCCAAGCAAGCCACAACAGAGGGGGGCCCCCAACCCCCAGGGGGCCCCTCAGGGTACAGGCATACGAATGAGGCCCTCGTCTACGAGGCCCTCGAGGCCCCTGTCAAGGTTAAAGACCCTTGGGGGCCCCCCCCTTGGGGGGCCCCCGTCCGGGGGGCCCCCCTGTTTGCTCCGGTGGTGTGGGTGGTGCAGCAGCGCATGCACTGCTTCTGTTGCTATGGCTGAGTCTTTTCCTCGTCGGCATATAAAAACAAAAGCAAGAGAAGGAGACAGAAAGAAAGGGGGGGGGGAGGGTAGCTGCAGTAGATGCATAAGCAGCAGGGATGTCTCCTGAGCATATACACACAATAACAACAACCCCACCCTCAGCCTCACACCATAACACTCTATACTCTGCTGTAGGACGCTGCCCCTGCAGCTGCTGCTGCTGCTGCTGCTGCTGTTGCTGTTGCTGCTGATGCTGCAGCAAAGTGAAGCAACAGCAGCAGCAGAGCATTCTGTTATCTCGTGGATGCATACCTCGCGCCAGTGTCTCTCACAAGGCTCCTCAACCTCCCGTGTTGCTGCTGCTGTTGCAGCAGCAGCAGCAGCAGCAGCAGCAGCAGCAGGAGCAGCAGCAGCAGCAGCAGCAAGTTGCTGCTGTCTGCTGTTTATGTAACTCAGAAGGTCCTGCAGCGGCCAATGCAAAGAGTAAGGAAGCCGCGCAACAGCAAACTGGGTGTGGGGCCTCACATCGATGAGCACCATCATTTCCCCCGCAGCAGCAGCAGCAGCAGCAGCAGCAGCAGCAGCAGCTGGCTCCGCTGCCCTTGCTGTTTCTGCTGCTGCTGCTGCTGCTGCTGCAGCACGGCGCAGCCAGGTAGCTGCTGCTGAGAACACTGGCTGCTGCCACAGGGCCCCCCACATAGCTAGCCGAGCAGCAAACGCAGCAGCAGACAAACGACGAGGGGGAGGAACAGAAGGATACCAACACACCCCACTGTACTCAGGCCGCGCCTGCAACACAGCAGCACAAGCAGCAGCAGCAGCAGCAGCAGCAGCAGCAGCAGCACAAGCAGCAGCAGCAATATAAATACAAAAGGGTGCAGTAGCAGCAACGTCTATCTACAGACGAATGCCCCCCCTCCTCCCTGAACAGCAAAACTGCTCTGGCTGCTGTTGCGGGGGCCCCTCTGTGGGGCCCCCGCCCCCATGGGACTGTGGGGCCCCTGGGGGCCCCCAGAGGCCCTGGGGGCCCCCGGGGGCCCCCAGGGGCCCCCAGGGGCCCCCAAGAGAAGCAGCTGAGGGACAGACCTCCATCTGAGTGATTTGGGGGGATTCGCCACAAGCT